TAACCCTTTGACTTGGAACCAGACAATTCACTCTGAAAACATCTATTTTACTATTTCATTTATTTTTGAAAAAAAAAAGAAAAAAAAAGAAATACCATAACATACAAATCTGTTATTTCATCAACTTACTTAATGATTTTCTGTGGCAGTCCTTTGAAAAGCAAAAGTTACGCACAACTTTCAGAGCAACATTGCTAAACATCACATAAAAGTGATGTTTAACTGAACAGAACTTAGTCTGAAATGTATTTGCTGACTTTCCCAGTGGGAAATAACTAGTTGTGACAACAGATCCTAGCAATGTACTGACCTACTTAAACTTTGTTATAGGTGATATAAAACATCTGGACAGTCAACTTTACTTCTAATCAAGCATTTTATTAGATTGGAAGCACAAACCTTTTGCGTTTATTATGGATCAAAAACCAAACCAGAAACTACCTCTGGTTAGATGGAAAAGAATCATGTGAGTGATTTCATATGACGTTATCTCACCAGTTTATTTCAGGATTTTTTTTAAAAATCAACTCCATGCTGGAATGGTCAAGTCAACCAGCTAGCTGACCTAAATGTTAGCTCACAGGGCAAATCTGAAACATAAAACCTAAATGTTTTTGTTACTGAAGAGGCAGGACACAATTTTACCATTTGTTTTTCAAAAGGTTTAGAAATGTCTTCATGTGTCGTCTTATACCCACATAGGAGTTAGAGCAAGCTTCATCCGTGAAACTTGCTCTCATATAAACCTTTAATGTGTATTATTTTAAGAAAGCAACAAAAATGTTTTTTTGTTTTTTACTTTGAGGAGTGGCAGCACATGATGTCACCAACAGCAGAAAGAACAGCATCTGATACAAAGAACAAAATAAAACCAAAAAAAAGGGTCAGAAATTAACAGTGATGATACTTGCAGTAGTTGGCAAAAATAATGACTTATTCAAGCTTTCCGCTTGAATAAGTCATAAAAATTCTCGTAGAGAATCATAGACCATTTTGTTTGTGAGATCATACTTCAAAACTTTCCCACTATGTAAAGTTTGTCATGTCTTACCTTGGACGTTGATTCTGGATGTTTAGTGTAAAACTATCGGATTGTCACTTTTATACTGTAGATGTTTGTGCAATAATTGTATTTCATTGGTTCCCTTGATGTCCCTCCTGACCACCTGATCTACCTTCTATGTAAATTAGAAGGTTGGCCTTTTTTCTAGAAGGCCGATCTTCACCAAGGTTGGTCTTTAACTTTGTAAAAGACCAAATAGAGGATAAAATGATTTCGGCACAATAAGATAAACTTGTGCAGTTTCAATAGCAGGTGGACCTTAACAATATATGGACCGAGAAAGTTCTGTTTTCTAAATATGATTTAAACCGTTCCAAAACTGTGTCTGTCATGCCAACACAGTGTAAATAAAAGAATCTCATGTTCTATTATAACAAACTATAAATCACTCTGTTGTAACCCCAAAATAGTTTTTTGGTTATCTCCTGAAAAAAAAAAAAAGTTTTATACTATTAAATATAAATGTTACCCCGCCTCTCGCCCGGAACGTTAGCTGGAGATAGGCACCAGCACCCCTCTCGACCCCACTGAGGGACAAGGGTGTTCAGAAAATGGATGGATGGATGGAATATAAATGTTATTGTTAGATTTAAAAGCACAGCCATTGAAACCAGGTTGTTTGAAAACTATTTACTACTATTTCTTTTAGGACATTGACAACTTGAGCAAATAAGCCATAACTGTTTTCCCATTATAACATCATGACATAAGTACATAATATGATGTCCTTCTAAGTTGGGCTGCTATAAAGGTTTTAAATATTTTTGAAACTTTAAGTTGCATGACTGTAACAAGATAAGAGCTCTCTATTTGCGTCAGTAGACAGTCAACCATTGAGTAAAATTAACAGACAATAATTTTACTTAATATTCTATAATGATATGCATCCACACAAATATTTACTCACCATGACATATCAAATGGTTGAAGTGGGTGATTTGATGGTGAACTTGGCACTGAGTAATTCAGTTGATAATTGATTCACAGCTTAGTGACGTTCATAGACGGTAAGGGAATGTGTTTTTGAAACCAAGATGTTTTGGCAATGAAGTACGGCAAAGGAATGATAGTGACTTCACACCAAAGGTAACTTTCTCTGCCCTAGTCTGTCTTTAAAGAAGTTTACATTGAATTTTTAAGTAATTTGCTTTTTTTTAATTGCAACAATAATAAGATTACTTTAAGTAGTAGTGGAATAATAAAACATTTTGACAATTGAGGAGATTTTGTGGCACTAGTGGTCTTTATTCTTAGCAATCAAAGAGGAAACAGAAAAAAATCCAGGTGAGTATTTGCATTTAAGGTCCTTACATGTTGAATCACTGTGAGGGACTGGCCNTAAGAAATAATTGAATTAACAGAAGGAATAAATCAGAACAAGAAGATGAAATAAATACAAAATGCAAAGAACAAGTCCAAAATTCAAATAAGAAACTGAACTAGCAGAGGGAATAAACTAGAACAAGGAAAAATAATGAAAATAAGAAATCAATACAAGGAAACAAAAGAGGCAAAAGTCCAAATTGATAAGGCATCATAACAAAACAAGAAAGAAATTGCTTTATCTCTTCCATTAAACTGGAAAAAAGATAACTCTGCAATTCATTAACTTAGATAAGCAAAATGAGTAAAAACAATGCGACAAAAAACAACAACAACAAAAAATAAAACTGAAATATTCAGACATATGAGAAATATGACATGTAATTCCTTTGGTAAAATGCTATTTAATTTAACTGATGTTGTTCACAAGGTCTTTCTAAATAAATTAAATAATATCCACTACTGCTAACTTACATAGAAGGTAGGTCAGATAGGGCGGGGATACCAAGGAAAGCAATAAAATATGATTATTCTACCAACAGCTACAGTATAAAAGTGACAGTCGGATAGTTTCACACACATCAAGAATCAGCATCCAAGGTAAGAATTGACTAAATTTACATAGCTACAAAAAGGACTAAGGATTCATGACAACTATGGTGAGTGGACAGCTTGAATAAGTCATTATTTTTATTGAGAGTATTGTCACTGTTAATATTTTATGACTTGTATGGTGTTTTCTTGTATCAGATGCTGCTCTTGCTGCTGTTGGTGGCATCATGTGCTGCCATTCCTCAAAGTAAGAAAAAACACTTGTTGCTTTTTTAACAATATAATAATATAGATTAAAGGTTTATATGATAGCAAGGGAAGTAGTTTTTCTAACTCCTATGCAAATATACGATGGAACATGAAGACTTTTTTATTCTTTTCTATCCCTGATAGTGGGATAAAACCTATCAAATACATTTGCAAGAAAAAAAAAAATGTTGGTAAAATTGTGTTGATGTCTTTTCAACAATTAGCTTTAATGTTTCAGATTTGCCAGTAACCAAACATGTAGGTCAGCTTCCTGGTTGTCTTGTCCATTCTAGCTAGTGGTAATTTTGTTTTTGCAATCCTGAAATAAAATTGTGAATAAACATCATATTAAAACACTCACTGGATAGATGGAGTGTTTTCCATCTCACCGGTGCTGGTACCCGGTGTGGACATTGGTTTAGTTTTTGATCTATAATAAACATAGAATAATAAAACTATGCTGCGCTTCCACTGTAATAAAAGGCTGAATTAGCTACAGAAGAACAAAAGTTGCCTGTCCTCCTGTCCTTCCTGCAGTGTATATATCACCTGACTTTAAATAAGTTAATGGAGTTAAGCAAATTAGGATTGTAAAGTGATTTTAACTACCCTGCATATGGTTTTTGTCTTTGTATTTTCACATCGTGTCAATGAGAAGGCAGATCTTGACAAGCTGATTACAGATTAATATTTTATGGTAAAAATATTGTTTTATGCAAAAATAACTGAAATAGTCAAATATGTGTTTTCAGAGTTTTTAATGTTTGAATGATTTATGCTGACAAGAAAAAATTAACCATCTGGTTTCAAGTCAAAGGGTTAAAGTGCTTCTCACCGGAGAGCAAAAGAGGACAGTGATTGATTCTTAGATATTTGCCAAGCTAGATAAGATTGGTGGATAAGATCAGCTTCATATGTAAAAATCAGTCGATTACTGATTTCCCAAAATTAGGGAAATCAGCACCGATAAATCGGTGCATCCCTACTTTATAATGATCATTGTGACTCACATAATTTAGTATAACTAAAAGAAGAACAATAGGTTAAACAAATCTACAAGATAAAATTACTTAGTTTAACATCATAGCAAATATGAGGAGATGTCGTCAGAAACAAATTCAGCTATAATATTAAAACCTAATTTCCCAGTGGAAAATAATTTAATTGGAACTATGAATATTTATTTTGGAAAGTATTCATAACTTTAATGCTTTTTTTAAAAAAAATATATTGGGTTTCATTTCTTTAATACATCCTTTGTTTTAAAGATCTTCAAGGGAAGATGTTCACCTTCCCAGAACAAACCAACACAGCACATGTTAGGTTGACGACATCAAGACAAAACTTCAATGCTGTGACTGTCTGTTTCAGGTGAGTATTGATGTTTAGTTAAAACAAATAAAACTTTCTACAGAGAGCATGAATGTCTAAAACTAAAACAATATTCTTCATGTCTTTTGCCTCAATACAGGTTCTTTACAGACCTCTCAAGAGAATATTCTCTTTTCTCTCTGGCCGTACCCTCTGTTTACAATGGTTTTTTGTTTTACAAAAGCTTGAATTCTTTTGACGTGTGTGTCAGAAACACATGCCCAAAATTTGAAGGACTGGACTTCAAGCTGAACAAATGGCACTCGGTCTGTGGAACATGGGAAGCTGCATCAGGTTTGGCACAACTGTGGCTGAATGGACAGCCTTCAAGCAGGAAGCCAGCCAGTAAATCCAATATCAATGGATCAATTATAATCGCTCTAGGACAGGTGCGTTTTTAAAGTTTTAGATTTTAAACACTAAAAAGGTTTGCTGTTTATATGCCCTAATAACAGGATGCTCAATTATTTTGCTGCTTTTTAATATTTAATTCACCAAAAATACAAGGATGGAATACCATCCCTATCCTTAAACTGCTTAAAAACAAAAACATTCATTCAAGATGAAACATCTTGATAGGTATGTCCAATAAAACACACATATATATATATATGAATAACTATAAACCTCCATAGACATATGTTTGCAAAATATCCGTTCCTGCAGTTTCTGTTGTTGTGCTGTTTGATTATTTTGTCTATTTGACAATTTTGTTTATTTTTCTTACAGGATCAAGATTCACATGGTGGTGCTTTTGATGCCAAACAATCATTTGTCGGCATGATGTCAGATCTCCATATGTGGGACTACAGGCTTTCACCTTGTGAGATTCGGGAATACGCAACTGAGTTTGGTTATGCAAAAGGAAATGTGTTGAACTGGAATTCACTGGAATTCCAGACTACAGGAACGGTGCTGATAGAGAACAACCTGAAAAATTGTCAATAAATAATATTTGTTTTATTTATATATCGCACAATAGCTGATAAAATATATGTTATGTTATATAAATTACTCTAACTGCTGTTAGAGTAATTTTAACATCATAACCATGTTTAATTCATAACACTAATTCATTCCTTTCTGATAATACAATCAATCAATCAATCAATCAATCAATCAATCAATCAGTTTATTCACTTGATTTAACACATTTCTTCATTAATTTACAAATACATTCTTTTACAACGCTTACTGTACTCGAGTGGAAAGGGAGCAGGAAGAAGAAAAATCTTGTATTAACCTGAATCTCTTTCAATAATTACAAAATAAACTTTCATTCTGTCACTTGTAGTCAAAAACTTTAATACCATTTTCAAATTTTACCCCAGAATCAACGTTGAACCATTTTACAAGAAAGTACTTTTTGATAAAACTTGCAACTAAGAATTATAGCTTATTTTAAGCTCATGATGTATTTGTTTATGTTACTGTACTATCTTTGAAGATGATGCTGATCATTTTCATTTACAAAAATAAATCTTCCCACTACATAATTAAGAATTGTGTTGCAGGTTTGACTCCAGTCTACTGACCTTGGCTGCATGGTTTCATTGAAAAACTAAAATAACATGTTAAAGATGCATTCAATATAATTTAATTTCCAGATATATTTTAAGTACATTGTGAGTGATAATATAATTTTGGATATTTAATTTTTTTTAGTTTTGAACAACTTAAAGGTTTGAGCTGGCTTACTGTAGAATTAAGTCAAAGAGATTTGAATTATTTATAATACAAAGATAAATGATTAGAGTAAGAGTGACTTAAATGTGTCATGTTAAACACACTTAATGAATGAAGTTTTAAAAACTCAGTAAATTGAGATGGAGAAACTTAATTAATTGATTTGGATAATCATAATATACTGCATTGAGTAGGTCAGATGTAGGATACAAAACTGGCATTGAACTCAATTGTTTTAAATAAAGTCAAAATGAAAAGTTCCTTTAGGTTAAAGATTTGAAAGTTTTGAGTTAAATGAACAGAAAAAAGTAAGTAAGTTTGTTCTGGGGCCACACCATTAACAAAAGTAACGCTGAACAGAAAACACATAATACAAAGAGTAATACTCAATACCAAACTTAAACTATATATATAAGGGTCTTTTGAAAAGGGATGGATGATGCACAGTTCTGTTAGTAGATTGTGGGGAGGCTGCTGCAACTCATCTCACTTCTGGGGTTTGATTCAAAATGTCCATCCATCCATCCATTTTCTGTAAACCCTTGTCTCTAGTGGGGTGTTGGTGCCTATCTCCAGCGAGACATTTCGGAAGAGAGGCGGGGTACACCCTGACAGGTGTAGAAAAAAGGCCAACCTTCTAATTTACATAGAAGGTAGATCAGGTGGTCAGGAGGGACATCAAGGGAACCAATGAAATACAATTATTGCACAAACATCTACAGTATAAAAGTGACAATCCGATAGTTTTACACTAAACATCCAGAATCAACGTCCAAGGTAAGACATGACAAACTTTACATAGTGGGAAAGTTTTGAAGTATGATCTCACAAACAAAATGGTCTATGATTCTCTACGAGAATTTTTATGACTTATTCAAGCGGAAAGCTTGAATAAGTCATTATTTTTGCCAACTACTGCAAGTATCATCACTGTTAATTTCTGACCCTTTTTTTTGGTTTTATTTTGTTCTTTGTATCAGATGCTGCTCTTTCTGCTGTTGGTGACATCATGTGCTGCCACTCCTCAAAGTAAAAAACAAAAAAAACATTTTTGTTGCTTTCTTAAAATAATACACATTAAAGGTTTATATGAGAGCAAGTTTCTCGGATGAGGCTTGCTCTAACTCCTATGTGGGTATAAGACGACACATGAAGACATTTCTAAACCTTTTGAAAAACAAATGGTAAAATTGTGTCCTGCCTCTTCAGTAACAAAAACATTTAGGTTTTATGTTTCAGATTTGCCCTGTGAGCTAACATTTAGGTCAGCTAGCTGGTTGACTTGACCATTCCAGCATGGAGTTGATTTTTAAAAAAAATCCTGAAATAAACTGGTGAGATAACGTCATATGAAATCACTCACATGATTCTTTTCCATCTAACCAGAGGTAGTTTCTGGTTTGGTTTTTGATCCATAATAAACGCAAAAGGTTTGTGCTTCCAATCTAATAAAATGCTTGATTAGAAGTAAAGTTGACTGTCCAGATGTTTTATATCACCTATAACAAAGTTTAAGTAGGTCAGTACATTGCTAGGATCTGTTGTCACAACTAGTTATTTCCCACTGGGAAAGTCAGCAAATACATTTCAGACTAAGTTCTGTTCAGTTAAACATCACTTTTATGTGATGTATAGCAATATTTCTCTGAAAGTTGTGCTTAACTTTTGCTTTTCAAAGGACTGCCACAGAAAATCATTAAATCATTTCAAATATCTTACTTATAGTTTATATTTACTCTTTTATTTTCACACAATGTCAATGAGAAGATAGGTTTAGCAGTCTTGATGTAATCACAAATGTATATTTTCTGGTAAAAAATACTTTTTTGGCAAAAAATAAATGAAATAGTTAAACATATGTTTTCAGAATTTTAGAAGAAAATAAATGCTGATGAAAAAATGTAAATGGTTCCAGTTCAAAGGGGTTAAACTGCTGTATAGCTTTCAATGCAACTCACACAAGTTAGTATCATTAAAATGGAAATATTTAAAAGGTAAACAAATCTACAACAAGATGGATTTAACAAATATCAGGAGATGTTTTTCAAAATGTATTTAAAGTGATGAATACTTTCCAAAATAAAAGTTTATGGTTCCGATTAACTTATTTTTCTCCTGAAAATTATTTTTTAAGCTCATAGCTGAAGTGACAACACAGTAAAAGCACAGCCATTGAAACCAGGTTGTTTGAAAACTATTTACTACTATTTCTTTTAGGACATTGAGAACTTGAGCAAATAAGCCATAACTGTTTTCCCATTATAACATCATGACATAAGTACATAATATGATGTCCTTCTAAGTTGGGCTGCTATAAAGGTTTTAAATATTTTTGAAACTTTAAGTTGCATGACTGTAACAAGATAAGAGCTCTCTATTTGCGTCAGTAGACAGTCAACCATTGAGTAAAATTAACAGACAATAATTTTACTTAATATTCTATAATGATATGCATCCACACAAATATTTACTCACCATGACATATCAAATGGTTGAAGTGGGTGATTTGATGGTGAACTTGGCACTGAGTAATTCAGTTGATAATTGATTCACAGCTTAGTGACGTTCATAGACGGTAAGGGAATGTGTTTTTGAAACCAAGATGTTTTGGCAATGAAGTACGGCAAAGGAATGATAGTGACTTCACACCAAAGGTAACTTTCTCTGCCCTAGTCTGTCTTTAAAGAAGTTTACATTGAATTTTTAAGTAATTTGCTTTTTTTTAATTGCAACAATAATAAGATTACTTTAAGTAGTAGTGGAATAATAAAACATTTTGACAATTGAGGAGATTTTGTGGCACTAGTGGTCTTTATTCTTAGCAATCAAAGAGGAAACAGAAAAAAATCCAGG